CTCTTCTAGTCATAAATATAATACTCTTATATCGGTATTAAATACGAGACTCTTATACTAGTTATGTTTAGGACTGAAAGAGTACTATATATAATGGTGAGGTAGGGAGAATGGTGGGAAATAAAAAGATGCTAATGGGACATGGTTTGGGAGAGCAAAAGAGAAGAATGTTTCAGGCATCAGCTGCAGAATGGTGTTTATTTTATTTAATAAAAAGACTGATAAATATAACATCAAAGAGTTAAACGACTTGATAAGAAGAAGAAAAAAAAAAGCTCAATGATTTAATTTAAAATTGGGTGAAACTATAAGGATCTCGAGATTAACTTTTCTATTAAAAAAAATGAAAGAGTGATTTATATATATTTAATATAATGATGATGATCGGATCGTGGATTCATTTTATATTTATAGTAATTAAAACTTTAAAAGCTAAAATGGTTAGTTTCCGTCAAAACTGATCGATAAATTCTGTTAGTCTGGTGCACCAGAAATGAATGACGTGTTGTGGAAGAAGTTATGCGGTTGTGTCGTGGGCTTCTAGATCATGGCACTTCTTTCTCGCCAGTCGACACGACTTGCTTTTGCTCTTGGTATTTTTCGCATTGCATTTAGTTTGCTGGAGGATAGAGTTCTCTAAACTATAACTTCATTTATTAAGAAATTCAACTAAAAATAATCTTTCTTAGCCGAAAAGATACTTCGAATAAAAATAAGAATGAAAAGAATATCTATTAGATCTCTATTTCTGAAATTTCAACTTTAGTCCTATTGAAGGGGAGTTAAAGAGACGATGAGCGAGATTCAGAGAGGATGAAGCCAGGTAAGAATAGACAGATACTAAATGTAAACACATATTCCTCTAATCCTATTTATAAAACAAAGAGAGAACACATTTTTTAATCCTATATATAGGGTATTGAAAGAATTTTTTTTGTATGAATATACAATTTACTGTTTATTTATTATTGTGTTGATTCTGTTTATATGAAATATAATATATATCAAATAGGGATAAAATTGAAAAGTTGTTAAATTTTAAATGAAAGTTAATGAAGTTTAAGGTATTTCTTGGTCTGTGTGAAACATGTTGGAAGTGACTTATAAATAAGACCAGAAGAGTATTTATATTTATAAATATCTTCAGTCGTTGTCTACCAAACTACCACTACCGTCTCCTGCGTAAATGTACAACTAATCCATTTAAATCTGGAATGATGAAACTTTCTGAGCTGAGTTTCCTAAGTTCAGTTTTGTCACCTTCATAATTCTAAAAACGACACGAGTTATTCAAGAAGTCCATACCGTGATGTTACCCAAAAAAAAAAAACCGTAACATGAGAAAAAAATGAGTTATTTGCATGGCAAGAGTGGCAAGTTACAACAAATTAGGAAGTATTTACGAGCCTCACGTTTCATGTCGCAATAGGCAGAGCTGGCTACCACTTTCATGGGATAACAACCTCAACGTAAAACTCCCGAACTCCCAAATCCCTTTATATTAGCATTTGTTCCATCCATTATTTCCACCAAACTTCTGGCTATATTTTCTCCTCCCATTTTTTCCTTCGGTCTCTTTTGCTTCATTTCGATTCTAACATCACCTTCTTCCTAAAAAAATTCTGTCTGTTGCTAGCAATTCACATTTTTTAATTCTTTTAAATTAAATTTATCCCATTCTCTCTGATCCGGTTCGTTCAGGGTGAAATGGAGATCTTCCAAAGGGCCCATGTGGTGCGTTTGAGGAGCCACCATGACAAATACCTGATTGCCGACGACGACGAAGAAACAGTTCGTCAAGATCGGAATGGGTGCTACAAGAACGCGAAGTGGAACGTGGAGATCATCGAGAATTCCCATTGCTTACGTTTCAAGAGCTGTTACGGAAAATACTTAACCGCCTCCAATTTGCCATTCATATTTGGATCTGGAGGCAAGAAAGTGCTCCAAACTCTGCCCAGAAGATTAGATTCCTCCCTCGAATGGGAACCCTCAGAGAGGGTGTTCAGGTGAGACTCAAGACCCGTTATGGCCAATTCCTGCGCGCCAATGGAGGACTGCCTCCGTGGAGGAACTCCGTCACCCACGACATCCCTTACAGAAACACCACACAGGACTGGATTCTCTGGGACGTCGATGTCGTAGAGATTCGTCCACAACAAGTTCAGCAGCCTCCCAAACAGCGACCCCGTCCCAAGCCTATCGCCACGCCACATCGTTCCGTGAATCCGGCCACAACCGAATCTTCTGCTTCAGCGTCTGTTTCCGGTGGTGACAGCTTTTCCAAAATTGAGCTCAGGTCTCCAAAAAGAATGGAGGTTTGTTTCTTTCTTCGAAATAAATGCCTTCGTTCATGTGAAACAATCGATTGGGAGTTTTGAGGAGGAGAAAATTAAAGGAAAAAAAAAACTGTTACTTGTCCCGTGCAGGTGAAAGAATTGGAGGAATACGCGCTATCGCCAAAGAAAGAAGGGAGGACAATATTTTACGAAGTGGGGGATGAGAACGGGGATGTTGAGCCTGGAAAGGAGAAGTTCTTCACGTTCAAGGGAAGTTCCGTGAATGAGCTGAAGGAAAAGCTGAAGGAAGAAACAGGGCAAGATGATATTCTTGTGTGTTCCCGGAATCCTTTGAACGGGAAGCTATATCCCCTTCGCTTACACCTACCACCCCACAATTCTGACATGCATGTCATCATCGTCCCTTCCACATTCCAAGGTGAGGTCCTTCGTGTCTCATTTCCCCCCCCCCCCAACAATCTCAGGTTTAGCTATCCTTTAATTTTCAGAGAAATTGAATCCATTCCTAAACGATGAGAGATTGTTGCTTAAGTCAATGGGCTTTCTAGCAGAGCGCACACACACACGTATATATTGCCTCTTGATTCCTTCATCATTCTGAATTTGAAAGTTTGCAATTTTACTTGTACGTTGTTTGATTATGTTCTAACATCGATTGCCTTGTTTTAGCGTAAGAGCAGTAGTCAGCCCAAGGATGGCAGGAGGTTAATATCAGAAGTTCTACTATAGGAGTCCACAGCTCATTCAGAAGTTAAATGTGACATGTGCCAGATGAAAAACTGCAAGGCAAACTAACCAGACATTCAAATCACAGAGCAACCAGACAATTCAATCAGCTCTAAATTTAAATTGCTTTTCAAGTTGGTGCAGGGCTAAGCCATCTGAGATGTAATGCAGAGTGATGTATTTTAAGTATTTATTTTTCTTCTCAAATTCTGTACTTCAGAAAGAAAAACAAAAAATTCTATGGAGTTTTCCCATGTGCTAATTTTTACTACTCATTTTATTCCACAACGATCGTTCGTAGTAAGTGAAATTGTTGCCACAAGCGATGTTACCCGTGCTTACCACTTGGCAGACGATGAAAAGAGAAAAGCTTACTTGTGCGATATGATGTTCTTGATCAAATCTAGCGTGTAAGATGCATGTCTCTCTGATGTAGATTCTGTTACCAACTCGATTGATTCAAGACATGTCTTCGAACTGATGGGAAACAAATAACGAGCGTGTGATACAATTTACAAGAGATAAAATGCCTTTAAATTTCTAAAATTGTAAACAACAGACAATATCCTGAAAAGGAAAAAAGGCATCTACGGTAAGCATCAAGTTGGAACCAATTCCACCTATATAGAGTAACAAAGTTTACGTAATGCTAACAATCTGACGTAAGCATCTAGTTGGACCAACCAGTGAAGCGAGTATAAGGAGCTTGTGAGGGAGCGGATCCTCTGCGTAGACGACCATGCAGGACACCGCCCCCATAAAAAGACGGGGGGCCGATGTCCTACATGATCTTCTTCTGGAGTCGAAGGAAGCTGCTGGCGCACATGATTATTTCTTTTAATAAAAGGAAAGTTACATGATTGTCGTCATACTTTTATCTGACTGTAAAAGTAAAAGGCTCGTTGACAGCAAGCTCAGCAAGATCAAGATTGTTATGAATTCGCGGTCAGGCAAGTGGATTTGTGGCCATACTTCTTATCAAATTAAGTATGCTTCCATGTTCAGGGATGAGGGCCAAGAAAAAGCGCTTTCTTCTGTACCACCAAGCAACTGTAATATACATGTTCAGGGGAAGATGGATTCATGAGTATATAATGGCTGCCCATGAAAAAGTGCTCCCTTTTAGGCATTCTCTCAGACACTTCCACGGCCATGTCTATGCATCCGCATTTTGCTTACATATCGACAAGAGGTGTCCCAACGTGTACACCAGATTGCAATGACCATTGAATCTACCTTCCCTGAGATAGAGCTCCAATCTGACCATAAGCCGTTAGCTCGCTAGGTACACAAAAATGTATCATCAGGCTCAACTCTAGCAATCATGATATTATTTCGGATCCTAATCATAAGACCTTATTTATAGTTTACAAATGAGATCTTATAATTAGAACTGGAGGTATTATTTCGGAATGGAATTAAAGCCTTAGCACAAGTAGCCAAGCTTCTCTTAACACGTGGATTCATAAGAACATGTTGAATCATAAAACGTATAGATTGGATATTATTGAATGTTAATTTTTTTTGTCATTTAAAACTATGAATTTCTAAAAATAAAATTATTTCATAATCAATATAAAATACACTATATACTCATTATACTTTTGTCCAATTAAATCAAAATAAATAGATTTTAAAGTATTAATGATATTAATAACCAAAATTTTTTATAGAATAAGAAAATATTAAAAAAAATTCACATCTCTTGATTTTATTGGAAACAATTACTCTAAATATATAAAACTAAGTACTGCTTCCGGTCCTAATTATAAGTGTTAGTTGATTAATTTAAGGAGATTAAAAAATAAATTGAGTTAATTATTTGTTTTAAATAGGTATTTTTTTTTAAAATATCATTATTAATCAAGTGTATTGATAACTCTTATTATCTTCACTCATCGTTACAGTTTTTAAAAATTCTCCCGCACCCTGACAGATAAATGCGGAAACTTTCGCGGACCTTTCCCGCTGGGAGAAGACGCCATTGCAGGTTTGCAACGCAAGCACCGTTTGTTCAGGTTTTGGATAAGCAAAGAGCATGGCTACTGACTCAATCCGCCTCGTCATCTCTTCAGGGTTTTCCTCCTTTATTCCAATTAACGGTTGGAAACGCGGCGGGCTTGCCTTAGGCCTCTGGAAAAGGAAGTTTTCTGAGCACATCATTTGCAAAAGTGAAACTAAAAGGGTACTTTTACTCTTCATTCTCAGGCATTGCTTTTCTTCCTACCTTTTCTTTGCAACCACGATATATTTGATTGGTATTCTTTGCTAATAGTCAAGCGAAGAGCTATTGGTGGTGGTTGGGGGCGGAGCAGCTGGGGTTTATGGAGCAATTCAGGCAAAGACGGTGGCCCCCAATCTCAACGTGGTAATTATTGAGAAAGGAAAGCCTCTTTCCAAGGTATGTGATTTTTCTTTTTTCATTTGCGCTGATTGGGTAAGTCTCAAAAAGACGGTATATTTTGCACTTTTCTCATTAATGTTTTTTCGTATGGTATTTTTGGCAGGTAAAGGTTTCTGGGGGAGGCCGGTGTAATGTGACTAATGGGCATTGTGCTGACAATATGGTAATTTTAATCATGAACTTTTCTTGAGTATGCGACCTATATCTATGGAAGACATGTTTTGGACAACTATGATTACTTTAATCTAAACGAAACTGTCAAAATTGGTAGGAAATTTTGGTAGTTTGCATTTTAGTGTTATGGCATTCTCTGAATCCCAATCCTTTGTAGTGATAATTTATTTGGAGGTCAGACCAATTAACTTTTTTCTGGCTAATTTAATATCAAAAACCAACATTGAATTGGAAATATTATCTACTGCATATATCGGAATTGATTTATTACTTTGCTTTGGGGGATTAAAATGTTTTATTCACCAGTGTTATCTCTGTTATTTTGAGTCATAATAATGGGTTCTGTTTTACCTGCTTCAAATAAGCATATTAGGCCTCATCATACTGGTCAGATGAAGTTTGGAATGTTGACTAGCTTGTAGATTTTGGCAGAAAACTATCCGAGGGGTCATAAAGAATTTAGAGGATCGTTCTTTAATTTGCATGGCCCAGTGGATACCATGTCTTGGTTTTCCTCTCATGGGGTGGAATTGAAGGTAATTCTTGATACATTAGATTGTCACTTGTTTCTAAATCTATAAATATCTGATTCGTATTTAATTGCCTGTAGATTGAGGGCGATGGCAGGGTCTTTCCTGTCAGCAACAGTTCTTCTTCAATAATTGACTGTCTCATGTCTCAAGTGAAGCAAAAGGGAGGTACGTTGCCTTGGTAGTTTTTGCATTCTGTGGAGTTCTCTTCCTTGTATGTCGTCAGTCATTCGTATCTAACGTAAGCCGTTATTCGCTGTGATTTACTTTTTCTACCTTAATTTTAGCATTTATTTGTATTGCCCGTTTCATAAATCCTGAATAGATAATCTTTTCTTAGGGAATAATTTGTGATCGTGTTGACAATTCTGGACTGTATTTTCTGCAATTGGTATCATAATGTAATTCGTGAATAACTGATTAGAATTCTTCTCCCCGTTTTCCTATTTCTATCTTGGTTTTACATATTCCTGATGCAATGGTGTATTATCAACGCTGAATTTTGTATATTTGATCAGTTAGTATGCAGACCAGAAAAGCTGTAAACTCAGTGTCTGTTGCTAACAGTGGCAAATTCGTTCTCAGTGTTCAGCAGCAGTTAGCCAATAATGCTGAACGAGTTGAAGCAGATTATCTATTGATAGCTAGTGGTTGTAGCAAGCAGGTTGTGATAAATATATGATTTATTTGAGCGTCATGCATTTCAAACATATTTTAAATGAAAATTTCTGTGTCAGGGTTACACTCTTGCATCTCAGCTTGGTCATACAATCATAGATCCAGTACCAAGCTTGTTTACTTTCAAAATAGAAGATCCACAATTGACAGAGTTATCTGGGGTAAAGTATTAAGTGAAGTTGTTGCCTTCGAGTTCTTTTACTTTGTTAATAAAGTTCTCTTCAGGAACATACATGATCTAAGTATATGGTTTCTGTTAATAAGCGTTGTACTTGCCATTCGTTAATTAGAATGTGACTTTGAGATTTTCTTTTAGAGGCATCTATCCAGTTACATTTTGGGTTTTGACTTTTTTCCCCCCAATGCTTAGACTATTCAGCTATTACATTCTGATGGTCCTTTCCGATCAAATCACCAGTCTACCCTGTATCAATGAAAGAAGTTGCAGAAGAATGATTTTCCAATTAGTATTTGGTAGCATATGTTTTATTCTTAATTCCAAGGGTTAATGTTTTGAATATTATTATTGTGTATTTGATCCTTTGGTGCAATATCCATAATGAAGATATTGAGGTTCTCTTTATCTGGAAAACCAAGACTTTTCTTCTGGTCATTTTACTATCATATCATCATGTCGAGGATGCAAAACATGCCTTGAGAAGTGGAGAATATTATCCTCTTTTTTTTTCAAAAAAATAATTCTTGCTTATCTTGTCTTTCTTTTTTTACTGGCCAGATTTCATTCACTAAAGTTAAAGTGAGACTGAAATTGGATAATGTCCGAAGGAATATTCCCCAGCTTACACAGGTATGTTTCTTTAACAACCTTTGACCAAATACTCAACTATATGTATGCTATGCTACCTTAACTTAAATTTCAGGTTGGCTCCATGTTAGTCACACATTGGGGACTCAGTGGGCCAGCTGTTCTTCGGTTATCTGCTTGGGGGGCTCGTTATCTGTTCAGTTCAGGGTACAAAGGTAAACTATGTTTTTCCCCCCTTTCAATACCAGTATCATTTCTTTCATTTTCCTGACATTTTTTTCCAACTCATTTACTGAGGTTGGCGTCAATTGGATGCAGGGAAACTGATTGTTGATTTTACCCCAGATTTGCATGAAGAAAATGTGAAGTCTATCCTTTCTCATCACAAGCATCAATTTGCGGTAAGTATGGAACCAGGGCACTTCGTCAGAATAGTAGTATTATGCAATCCATGTTATTGTGTATGAAAGTTGAAAAGCGAAGATGCGTTTCGTTATTTTTTCAATGGTGTTTCTTGGTGCTTTAATATTAACCCATTCTTGCCGTTTTGGATCTCTTCAGGAACATCATAATTGTCGCGTGGGTTAATTATTCAAGTGTCTGACCTTATTTTACCAAATACCTCCATATATATTCTATTAATAAACCCTTATGTTTTAAAAGAGCATTAATCTTCTCTTAAATTGGCTCCTTCCACAGGGTAGTTCTTATTTCTTAAGTATTAAAATTGGCATTATTATGCCTCCAGTGACAGCAACATAAGTAATTTGATCATAGGTCTTAGCCAATAGGCAGCAAGTTCCACTGAAACCATAGACTGTTTTTCCATTCATTACTGGATTATAATAAATTTCCTCTTTTTCTAGTTGGGCTTCAGAATGACAATACGTGATTGTTTTGCCTGTGCCTCTGCAGAAACAAAAAGTCTATAATTCATATCCTCCTGATTTTGGCATATCGAAAAGATTTTGGTGTTATGTGTTGAACCGACAGGTTATGTGGTTATTCCTATTTTTCAAAATATTTTGCCATTGACAGTGGTAACAAGTGCTTTGCATTACTAACCACAAATAATTTCATATACAGGGTTTAGGCGGAGATATCTTGTGGGCTTCCATGTCAAATAATTCATTAATTTCTATTGCTTCTGCACTAAAGCATTGTACTTTTGAAGTTGCAGGCAAGGTAGGTTCCAAATCATTTCTCTGATTTTTTCATTGTCATGGCCTCTACCTTCACCAAAATTTCCCAACAGATATAAGACTTTCTTTTTCCTTCTAATTAAGGGTCAATTTAAGGAAGAATTTGTTACTGCTGGCGGTGTTTCCTTGTCAGAGGTTCTCTTTTTCAAGCTTTCTCCTCCCTTATCTTAATTCGTTAGGAATATAATTTTTTGCTAATTTTTATTATTTTTTTGAGCTAGATCGCATTGAATACAATGGAGAGCAAAATTTGTCCGCGTTTGTTCTTTGCAGGAGAGGTAGATCTAAACTTGTTTTCATCTATCCTAACGGAGAAAGAAGTAATAATCTAGAGTGGTAATCTGACGTCTAATTCTTTGCAGGTGCTAAATGTTGATGGGGTTACCGGTGGTTTCAATTTTCAGGTACATAATACCTGAACACGGGGAACACATACGTTTTCTTTAAAAGGGAAAAAATTATGGTGGAAAGAAACACATACATCTTATAAATATGATATTACTTATGATTGGTGGTTTTTAATCCCAATTTCTTTAGAAGCTTGGTACACACTTTTGGTTTCTGTCATACCCTGAAATTTTGATTTGTTCCTTCATATAACATTTTTTTTCTTGGTTTAGGTATGCTTGTGTGAAGTTAGGTTTGTAGCTAAAATTAAAATGAATTTCTCATGGCATCGTAGAGCTAATGACTATCCAAGTATGAGGCTTGCTTGATGCGAGTGCGCGCATGTGTAGTATTGCAATTACACTGATTTTAATTGGATAATTACACAAATGCTCATTCAGCACCCTCTAGATGTATTACTTTTTCCATACAGATAATATATATATATATATATATATCTATACATAGTGAGAATGTGTGTATTCCCAAATGAAGTTTGGCCAATAAAATGAGAAAGAGTGTGTGAGGTGTAAATGCACAAGGGCCTGTCATTGGGTGTGGCACTGATGGTTTGTGACTGAGATTGTGTTGTTCAAAATAAGGAAAAGAATTTGGCCGAGTGTTAGAGTGGTATATTCATGTCATGGTCCACAAGAAAAAAAAGTGGTATATTCATGAGATTCATTCATACATTATTTATGCAGAATGCTTGGTCAGGGGGATACATCGCGGGGACCACTATTGGGGAACTGGCAACAAGCCGCCCTTGTCTTCCGCCGCACCCAATTTCAGAGCATCCTGCTTGATTCTCTTCGCTCATTTCTCTGTCAGCTTCTTATATTCCCATGGCAAATCTTCTTGTAGACTTGGACTCATCCCTCAATTATTTATTTTGCTACTCATCCTCTTGTAGAGCATGTCTTTTTTTTGTTTGGGGGATAATTCGGAAACACAGCTCGACCATAAAAGAAGAGGAGATTCGTGAAAGAAACTATTCCAAATCTGTAAGATATGAACCCCCATAATTGCAATAGTAAACTACGTAGCGTCTTATCAAGATCCTGAAGTTGGCTAGCGACGTGGCTCATACAAAATTGAAAGGCCAAAGAGATCAGGGGTTTTTATTATTGAGAGGTTGATGCCAAAATATGAAGGGCTTAGCTAGCTTAGTGGGAGTAGGTTTCTGGATTGTGACGTGGTGGAAGGATGCTGAAAAGAATATGAATTGCTAGTTCAAAGCCAAATAGAAGAGCACTCTTTTTGAAAGTGAAAAATCAAAGCTCCCAAATGCCAAATGCGAATATATGGCTTTGGACGGGCACACGTCAACACGTCAATTCTCCATCCATGCGACGCATCACCTCCACTTTCCAATTTCCATCGCCTCCTTTCCACATTGCTCTTTTGGCATATCCCAGGGAGACAAAGACCCTCCTTTATCATGCATCAAAAGAATACCATCTTTTTTTACTTATAATTTTAATATGTTCTTTACTTTTTGTTACCATTATTTTAATAAAGTTATCTTTTGAATAATGATATGAGCGTTACCTTTTTTTTCCCCCCCTGATCTTTACGTTCTTCCATATTTAGCCTTTTGCATGTCAAACTTATTTGGCATATGTTGTATGTGTTATACTTATTATTATACTCCTCCGGTCCTTAATATAAGACCCATTTAACTAATTTGATTAGATTAAGAAAGTTAGGTAAGTTAGTTAATTATAAGAAAATTGACACATTTTTCCTAAAACACCATAATCATCTTTCTTAATACCCCTCTCTCTCTTTTACTTAATTATAGTTGAGGGAGTATCTATAGGGGTAATTTAGAAAAAATTGATAAATATGAAATGGGTCTTATATTTAGACCAAACCAACTCAAAAATTGGGTCCTATATTAAGGACCGGAGGAGTACCTTTTCTTAGAAATATGCCTTTTCGTATCTCAAACAAAATAAATTAAGGTATTTTAGTCAAACGTGATATGCTTTTGCTGGAGCCTAATCTATTAATAGCTTTCTTTGTTCTTTTTGCGTATAACCTAAAACAATAAATATTTAAAAATGGAACAAGTAAAAGTTACAATGAATTACACCATTTATATGTCATTAATATTGCAATTTGTTCTCTTGACATTGTGTGATGTGTGACACATTATACGTGAATAAGCATTTCTATTTATATTATAATGTTACTAAAATTTGTAATAAATCACAATACTTATGAACCATGAAAAGAATAACCCTCTTGATAGCTTATGAACAATTTAAAAATAATACTATCTCCGGTCCTAATTATAAAAGCTAGTTGACTAATTTGAAGAGATTAAGAAAAAATTAAGTTAGTTATTTGTAATAAATATATGTTGTCTTTCTTAAAATATTCTTACTAATCAAGTATATTAGCTAGAACTACTATTGTTAGAAGGATTATTTTAGAAAAAATGTATAAATATGAAAGATAAAATGGATTAGAGTCTTATATTTAGAATCAAAATAAAAGTTAAATATAAGGTTTTATATTAAATACCGAAAGTGGTACTATTAATTTCTCAATTTTTTCATGAGTTTTGAAGTTGACTATGGGGGGCATACTGTGCGCCTAATAATTCTTCATGCTTTTTTGGCCTATCCTGCCCGGCTTTAAATGATATTTGTTTTCATTCGCATTTCGCCATTTGTTTCCTTTATCCTCTTATAAAACTATTTATGTGGTCAAAAAGCGGCCAGGGACCATTATTACCCACAATCATAATTCGTGGACTAAGTTCCCTGAATCTGGTCTATTCCACAAGTCAGAATTTCCGTTGTTCTTGATCTGTATATTACGCTTCTGACCAAAAAAAAAAAAAAGATCCGTATATTACGCGAATACTTTTTCTGGGTTTGCTTCATTTATTCTTAATTTTCTCTTTTTCTTTTTTATTTCAACATTGTATTCCGCTTTATAAAACTTGAATTTTTGTGCTGATAAATTATATTCTAACATAAAACCTTGTTTTACTGGCATAGCATAAAATAGTAATATGAAAATAGTAAATTAGTTTTACTGGCATAGCATAAAATTAAAAGCTAATATTTCAAAAGTAGATAATAACATTTTTGTTTTGTTTAACTTCACCCAAAGTTAATAAAATTTCATTCTTCTAAAGGTCATTATGTTCATAATCATTTTGTTTTTAATAATCAATGCTCATGAGTCATTACTGTCCCCCCCCCCCCCACCCAAAAACAAAAAAGGCAAAATGAGTGCCTTTTCCGTCCTATTTGGAGAGAATAAACTTTAGATACAGTTTTCAACCACAAAGATACAGTACACTAAAACGAGTAGCCTACAAGATTCTGCTATGAATTAACTACGTTGAATAATATTAAATATTAATAATTAATATACCAACCAGTCGAAACAGAGATCGTGCAGTTAACCAGCAACAGGATAATACTATTCCCTACTCAATTTAAAAAAATAGTTAAGAGCACAGAAATGCTATTTATTTATGATAACCTCGGACCTAAAAAATTACGTGTAACGTTTGTCTCGCTAATGCTCAAAATTCGAAAGGGACCGACAGATCACATTCATCGCGTGACTTCAATTAACCTAAATAACGGATGTTCAAGTCATCAGGATACCCAAATTGACCATTACCTAATAGCCGCGCATTACGTTTCACTGTGAGAGAGAGAGAGATAGAGACAGCTAATATAATAAGTCAAAGTTGGATCACTCGGATCCGAGTTGAGGAATCCGAGAATTTTGATTTATTAATAAAAAAAACTTTTGCCACCTCTTATTTCAGCCAAAAGTTTACCACATTCTTCTCAACTGTATATTCCAGAATCACAGAAATGAATTTCTAAACGAGCCGCATGCACATGAAATTTTTTGTTTTTTTCTTCCGGATTATTATACCATTACGCATCTCAGTGGCTGTTATCCACGAGGCCTGAGTTGTGCCGTTACTTGCTTTATAAGCACTTTTCGTTCTCTTTCCAATTCCATACTCTGGTATTTTGTCTATTTGAGTCGGCGGCTGGCAGTATTTGGCCTGGTTTTCCTTTTCAGTTTCGCCATATTTGCAGGTTTTCTTTCTTCTTCTGTGCATCTTCAAGACTCATCTCTCTCTACGTATGTGTGCATTTCGCTTCTGGAATGCGTAGAGGTTTGGCTGTGCTGGTGGTGAGTTTTGCGTGTTTGCGTTCTGGCCGCTGGATCAGAGTGGCAGGTATTTTGTTCGGCGTTTAGAGTGGAGTTCAAAGGAGTCTGAGAGCAGGATGGGGGAGAAGGGAGAGATGATAGGTTCTGGGAGGAAGATAACGGTTGGAGTTTGCGTAATGGAAAAGAAGGTGAAATATGGCCCCGAGGTTATCTCTTCGCGTTCACTCCTGTTCTCTTGTGTTTCGAAAACAGAGACTCGCCTTGAGTTGAAAATTATGTTATTCTGTGGCTATGTTCCGATCCTCATTGATGAGCCTGTTTTGTATTGCAGGCTTTCTCGGCGCCTATGTGGCAGATTCTCGAGAGGTTGCAAGCGTTTGGTGAATTTGAGGTAGTCGGTAATAAATGTGCTGAGTTTGAATGTAGTTATTGGTACATGAGTATACTAAAAACAACAAACTGATTACTCCACTTTTTTTTTTGGCCAAATGCAATAAATATGCAGCCGATGCTGCTTATTTTTTCTTCTTCACGGTCTAGAATCTGTGTATCTCATCTCATATATTTTTTTTGGAGGCGGAGCTCGTCCACTTTATTTGTTCTTTTTAATTATAATGGTGTCGTCTTCGTATTTTTTGTAGATCATATATTTTGGAGATAAGGTCATCCTGGAGGATCCAATAGAGAGGTATGTTGATTCAATAAGATGGAACTTCCTGAACTGTTAATCATGCAGTACAGTTTTGGTTTATAATTTTGGCATGCATTTAATCTGTTACTTGTTTTGTGTTTTTTTTATTCTATTAGCTGTGAACAATGTTATTTCTCGTTTACTTCTCTTTCTAGACCAATGCATTAAAAGGGGATACTCATTCCTCAATCAGCAATCAGCAATCAGGATTTGTGATCCTTCTGCTTCATGGTGCAGAAACTCATCAACCCTGGCTTAATTCTTTCAATTCGGATATGAAGTAATGGCTAGCTAGGGCCGATGTCACATCACAGCTCCTGTTTAAATTTCCTTGTCCTCTTTACTGAATTCGGTTCTCATAATTTGTATCATGAACTAGGGATTGTTGGGGAGGGTTTGCGATATATGAAGTTTGGAACATGAGAGCCGTAGCTGAAAATGTCATTATCATAAAGTCTACATGTGTCTAGAGTTGCATTGCTTGGGTGACATAAGTTTGAATTTTTGTCTATCTCAGCTGGCCAGTATGCGACTGTCTGATTGCTTTCCATTCCTCTGGATATCCCCTTGAAAAGGCTGAGGCGTACGTTGCTTTAAGGAAGTAAGCTTTTACAATTTCCAAGTATCTTTTATTTGTCACATCTTTTTAGCATTCATTAGTCTCTTTACCGTGTATACTCTTTTGAGATTGGGACTTTTAGGATGCTCTGGGATACTTTCGTGCCCATTGTCAACTACGCTTGGTATGATAAAAGATAACATTGACTGTGCTTACTTGTATGCTATTTCCTTGACCTTCTAGAAGAAAACCTCTCTTAACAATTGTGATATGAAGATGACTGATCGAAAGGAGTGTGGATTGTATATTATGGTGATAAGCGGTTTCTTCCGAGTCTTCCGCTAGATATTTTGTTCTCTGTTCTATCGAAAATATAATGCATTGTGATAGTCTTTGAACATTGTGATCAGATAGGCAGTCTCTCTGTCCATAAAATTCTTAGTGTAGCTTGAAGCATAAGGTCTGATTCCTGGCTTCCTATGCAGATTCAGTTATGTTTCTGTTGGGTTGCATTCTTGCAGATAAGTAAAAGTGATTGTTGTGGAAGTTGGATTCTGAATGCTAGGATGATTGTGAATTCTCCATTCGTTATTATCAATCAGTTATTTTTGGTTTGACTTTCTTATCTTTCTGGCTGTGTCTTCCCAAGTTTGAGTGCAAGGATCTGACACAATTATTAATTTTTCTTGATCAAGTAAAAGCAAGAAATCTCTGTTGGCCACACTGAGTCAAACTTCTTATTCGAGTGATTTGACTCGTTTTTTGGACCAAAAATTGTCAAGACTGTTTAATCATTAGGTTTTTGCTCAATATCCCTGTAAATTAAGCTCGTCTGTTTTCTTCAAAATTTTAGTTTTTGCACATTGTTGACACTGGATGTATATGCTGGATAGAAGTAACTCATTTTAATCTTTATCTTTTTTACTATGTTATTTTGTTATGATTATATTGTATTTGCATTTCAAATATTTACTTGAAAAGGTTTATGGATCTGAAAATGCTTATGCTCTTTGATCTAGGCCTTTTTTAGTAAATGACCTGGAACATCAGCACCTTCTTCATGATCGACGTAAGGTTTATAAGGTAAGTTGGATAAGTTTCACTCTTCTGTGGTTCAGTTCTGTTTCTCAAGCTTCTCTATTGTTGTGATATCTAATTTGAGATTATAAAAATAATTTATGGCTGTTTACCCATTTGACTGTCTTCTCGTTCCCTACTTTTTCAAAATTAAGTTTCAACACAAGATATTATGAGCTTCCCCTTTGTCCAAATTTCAAATCCAGAAGACTATGAGGGGGCATCAAGTTGTAATAATTCATAAAGTTGAATCGGCTGGTCCTTCACACTATATAGTAGTAAAATGATAACTCTGGTTCATACAATTTTGATGAGAGAATAAAGCATAGCTATGGCAATGTACATATTTTATTGTCTTGTTGAATCTGTACAGTAGAGTTCGTTCACTTCTAAATTTATTTGATGCCAGGTTTTAGGGGAAAAAATAAGAGACACCATTAGGAGATAACAGGGCTTATTTTTGACTTTTGCTCTACAGAGGCCTGCTGATATTTAAAATTAAGGCCGGATCTGATGCTGCGTGATTCATCTGAATTCCTACTCAAGCCATGAATAACTCAGTTGTTCTTATGTCTAACAGTGTGTTTGAATACCTGCTCTCTGCCCAAACTTTTGTATATCTAAACTGACAATCATTCTTCTATGTTACGCTTAATTAGTGTCAATGCTCAACGTTATTTGTTTTCTGATATATGGTGATTTTACTGATATTCAATTTTTTGGTTCAAGCATCTTGAATTATTTGGAATCCCTGTCCCAAGATATGCTCTTGTAAATAGGGAATTCCCGTATCAAGAGCTGGATTATTTTATCGAGGAAGAAGATTTTGTTGAGGTTAATGGTATGCGATTTTGGAAGCCTTTTGTGGAAAAGCCTGTTAATGGTGAGTTAGTTTCTTGTATTTAAGGGTGAAGCTCTTTTTTGTTGCTAGTTGTTCAGATTTAGGTCAATAAATGATGTCTGTCAGTGTTCCAAGAGCATCTTTAACATGTTCTTGAACTTTTGAAGGCAAATGTATTTGTTTCATTGAAAAGTCTGCTTCACAAAACAACTACTACGTATCATGACTTTTGTTGAGATGCTTCTGCATTTTGAAATACATTTTCTGAAAAAGGGTATTAACTCTAATCTTTCTGCTTTTTTAAGGTGATAACCATAGTATCATGATATACTATCCCAGTTCAGCAGGTGGAGGTATGAAGGAATTATTTAGGAAGGTAAGCTTGAGGATGATATATTGGGCTCCTTAATCTAGAAGGCTTACTATTATTGTAGCGTGAATGGACGTGGAGAGCATTAAATTCCATAGGGGTCATTAAAACTGTTGTTGTTGGGATGTGTTATTTGGATTCTGTGGTATAAATTATAAAAATATTGGTTTTTATTCGTTCAAATGCTTGTAAGTCTTCAAAAAAAAATGCTTGTAAGTCTGGTACTTTATGATTAAGCACGCAAGTTAAACTTGGTTGGAGGCTCTTTTTGGTCTTGAATCAATATATAATATGTTGTAGACTTGTAGTTGGATAGTCAGCAAGTATAAATGTTTTTTGAGAGATATGAATCAAACCTTTCCTCTGCTTTCTCCTAGAATCATATGTTTTTGGAGGAGTTGACTCATTGACATGCTTTTTCATCAAGTCTTATGAGCAACTTTTTTTTTTTCCCCCTCCCACTTCTATACAACCTTAGGTTGGCAACCGATCCAGTGAATTCCATCCAGAGGTGAGAAGAGTGAGGCGTGAAGGCTCCTACATATATGAGGAATTTATGCCAACTGGAGGGACAGATGTTAAGGTCTGGGACCTTGAAGTTTATGTTGCCTTTTCTCCCTAGAGGAGTTCATGTTATTCATGTCATTTGGATATTTTTTAACATTTATTTAGTCTTGTTATAATTTTTAAACAATTACAGGTGTATACAGTAGGCCCAGAATATGCTCATGCTGAGGCAAGGAAGTCTCCTGTTGTTGATGGAGTTGTTATGAGAAATCCTGATGGGAAGGAAGTAAGTATCATGCCAGATATTCTAGTCCCTTCTCCCTTATATTTATTTGTGACCTGCATTTTTGTTAAAAAGTTTTACTTGCTCTTTGCTCCTTTTGGTATTATTGGCTAGTAATTATGTGGATTAGCAGTCAATGCTTCATCTAGGCCCAGACCCCCCCCCCCAAAAAAAAAAAACCCCAGCGGGGTAAGGGGCCACCTTATCATTCTCACGGTTAATGTTTTGCAACTCTAAAGCTTTTTGTTGAAAAAGGATATGTGTGTGTGTGTAATGATTTTACTGTTACTGAACTGCTTGGTTTACATATATTAATTACATTATTTCAGATTTTGTGCAAAACTCTTCTTGACCGAACCTTTCTCTTATATTGTCTTTTCATCTTTCCCCTGACTGTTCAATATTACTAATTTATTTTAAACACTGTTCGATCTGAATTCCATCCCAATGCCTTGTTAATTTTTTTTTTTTAAATAATATTCCCTGCATTTAATAGAAGAACATATTTTAATATATTTTGGGTTGGCTGACAATTAAAAAAGCTTATACCATTCCAAAGCACGCATGGATTGTTGACCCATGTCCATAAACTTTTGGCAGGTTAGGTATCCTGTGTTACTGACACCTGCTGAAAAGCAAATGGCAAGAGAGGTTTGCGTTGCATTCCGACAAGCGGTATGTTATGTGGATGTGGTGACTGCTTGCCGTACAAAGATTCCTTTTTCTTTTTATATGTCATTACTACTGAAACATTTGTTTAAACTGGCGTCTTCCTATCTTGTTAGATTTATTCTCTCTAGACTTAGATTGACCAGTTATCCTATAGTTAGTTGAGCTTCTATTGAATCTTCCCAATGGTCATCTAAATTTTTCTTTTCACCTGAAAGGAGGTTTTAGCTTAGCTGTGGCATGCTCTTTTATCATGGTCTTGCACTTTTGCCTTCTAACTGAAATTTCATCAGCAGCTTAGGTTATGCTCAAAATGCTTTGACCTATCTTTGTTAACAAGTCCTATCATGGAATATTTTATATATTTAAAACGAACTTGTGATTGTTGCAGTAGATTCAATTGGATATATTGTATCTCCTTAACCTATTCTTCTGAAGTATAATTCACTGCGTATTTCATGTTCAGTTTAATTAAATCTGTCTTGCTGCAGAATTATCATCATGATGGTTTAGTGTGTGATATACTTCATGTCCCACCTTAAGTTTTTCTGACTGCTTGCAGGTTTGTGGGTTTGATCTCTTGAGATGTGAGGGACGATCATATGTATGTGATGTGAATGGATGGAGTTTCGTTAAGAACTCACACAAGTAAATTTCTGTGATCACATTGTTTCAAACTTTTGATATTGGATTTGGAAGGATAGTTGAAAATACATTTGTAGTTATAAGCGTTCCATAAAAGATGACCCTTTAACCATTTTAACAAATGTTATTTGGGCCTTAAACTCTATGAACTGCGCTATGTGATCCAACCTGGTCCGTGACTTGTTCACTTTGTACCAGTTGCCTTTATAACTAATAAGTGGATGGTCATTCTCTCGTCTAAAACTGTTGCGACTGGTGTCACTGAATTTGGATGTTACGGCAATTTGTGTATGGTGCTTTCAGATGAATAATATTTTGATAAAAAGAAAGCCTATGTGTCACAGCCAAATATTAAAGCAGTATATATTTCAACATTGAGGGATGTTGAATGTTTTGTCAATTCAAATTTTCAAGCATCAATTACATTCAGTAAGTTCATGGGAAAAGAATGATAAAGAAGTTTATAGGGAATATAATCATTGGTTCCTTTAACTTATAGTTTTTGTATTTCAGTCACATTTATGTATAGACAAAGTACATGTGTTACTTTACGCTTAAGTTGCATATTATCTATAGTGTTTAGTTGCCCCCATTACGATATAACTGGATAATAGTCATTCAAAGAAAAAAAATCTTAATTTCTCAACCTGTTCTATGATAATAAATTTTAATCTTAAAAAGTCACGTTAAAGACTGTTTATGACAAAAATTTGAAACTCTTAAAATGTCAATACTGTAGGATAGGGGGGAAATTAGATGAAACAAATCCAATTTATGAAAAATGTTCTGCTTTTTTGAAAATACTCATTATAGGGAAAATGACAAAAAAAAAATACCTATTGAATTTCAAAATGACAAATAGGTGATACTGACTATTCTTGTAATGGTTTTGACATGTCAAAATCTGTCAAAATCATCTATTTGTCCTTTTGAAATTCAACAAGTATTTTTTTTTTAGTCATTTCCCTTATTTAATATATATGTTCTGATGAATATCTGCTTTCACCCGTTTTTGCTCAATGACTCTTACACTTTGTCTTCATTGCTGCTACTGAAGGTATTATGATGATGCTGCATGTGTGCTGCGGAAGATGTTCCTAGATGAAAAAGCACCTCATCTTTCATCAGCAATTCCACCAACTTTACCATGGAAATTAAATGAACCAGTTCAACCTTCTGAGGGATTAACTCGTCAGGGTAGTGGTATTATAGGGACCTTTGGACAATCTGAAGAACTGCGTTGTGTAATTGCTGTTATTCGTCAGTATGTGCCTTTTCCCTGGATTAGTTATATTAGGTAAATGCCATGTTCTTTATTCACTCTTGTTCTGGCAGTGGCGATAGAACTCCTAAACAGAAGGTGAAGCTGAAAGTTACCGAGGAAAAGCTGCTAAATATAATGTTGAAATACAATGGAGGACGACCTAGATCAGAGGTAGTACTTTCTTTTCTTCTGGTGCGTTCATAATACTCTTAAGTCACTGGATTTATTGATACTTTATTCTTGATCCAATAGTCCATTATTTGCAGACAAAACTTAAAAGTGCAATCCAGCTGCAAGATCTGTTAGATGCCACTCGAATGCTAGTGCCTCGAACTAGGTACATTTATGGTGATTACTTTTTCTTTGCTTAAGAGATCTTGCCTCTCATCAAATAACTAATATTGAAGTTTGACACTCCAGCTGTTATGTGCTTTTTTTCTTTCTTTTTATGATTAATAGAAGCTGTCACTTTTTTAATCAATCTATATTTTCACAAGAGTTTTGGATTAGTCACAGTTATATGCATTGTATAGACTAGATCGAGAAAGTGATAGCGAGGCCGAAGATATTGAGCATGCTGAAAAGCTTCGTCAAGTTAAAGCAGTACTTGAGGAGGTTATTAATTCTCTTGACAATGTTTTTCCCTATGTTATTTATTTCCTATTATAAGCCTTACTCTGGGTCATAAATTTAGTCATCCTTCCAAATTTAATGGATTGATGTACTTCTCTTTGATTGACCTTGAATTTCGGATGTTGGATAAAATTCACCAATCCAATGTAAATGATTTGTCCAGACTATTGTCTCTTTTTATTTCTTTTTTCACTTTCCCTTATTTTCTCAATGATATCAGGGGGGCCATTTCTCTGGCATATATAGGAAAGTTCAGCTAAAGCCACTAAAGTGGGTCAAAGTTGCCAAAAGCAGTGGTGAAGGTGAAGAAGAACGACCTGTTGAAGCTTTGATGGTTCTTAAATATGGTGGTGTTCTGACACATGCTGGCAGAAAGCAGGTTCTGATCTGCAGGAATATTAAACAGTTTTTGCCAAGTTATAATTGGACTTACTCCTATAATTCCGTTATTGTTGAGGTTGAACATGAACTCATAATATTCAATGGCATTTTTCTAATTACTATTTTCTTTCTGCAGGCTGAAGAACTGGGAAGATTTTTTCGGAATAATATGTATCCAGGTTATTTGAATGTCTTTCTTTTTAGGATTTAATGACGCTATATGGGAAGAGGAGCTAATGTGCAATAGTGAGAAGCATTCACAACAACACTAATTTTCTTACTTCAGTATCATAATAAAAGGATGATCTGCAGGACTATATAACTGAACTAAAAGTTGGAACTCAACTGAACAACCAATGGAATCTATCATAATACTGCTTATGTCATAGCATATCCCTAGACCTAACACCCTCAAGAAAGTCCTAAATACTTAGCAATCATGGCAACACGATCACAGATGATTTGGTGGTTTTGGCGGGTGTCAAACAGCTCAAACATGGCAGGGGCATAGGAAAGAGGCCAGCGACATATTTTGGCTTGACCATTGTAGAGTGGTGGTCTCACCCACTCTCTTGAGTTGGCGTGTGCGATTTGTCGCAGAGAGATTGCCAGAGTAGACTTTGTCACCTGGGTTTACCTATCAAGCAAGTCTGAGGTGGTTTCTGGGGTTGTTCGGGTGTTTAGTTGAAGGAATGAGGATCAAAATGGCAAAGAAAGCCACAGACTTATCTGGAACAGTGCAAGAAATGCAACCCAGATCTGGAACTGGATGTAAATGCCAAGAATTATATTGGCTAATGATAAGAAAGCAATATTATTGAGAACCAAGCTCTAATACTGCAACAACGAATGTCAAAAAGAATGTTTTGACTTAGCTAGTAGTATTTATACAAGAATCATACTGAATAGTAGGAGACAGATAGCCAAGTTAAAGGGATTAAATTGCTGATTCTATGCGTATTTTCTAGGGTAAGCTAGTAACTGCAAATATTACAGAGTCAACTGACTACAATAATATCTGATTGTATTTTGTTAAAAAAAAAAACGTCATCTTGTGTTCTTTGATAAATGCAGGGGAAGGTACAGGTCTTCTTCGACTCCATAGTACATATCGACATGATCTAAAGATTTACAGCTCTGATGAGGGTCGAGTGCAGGTATAATCCTTGTTGTTTGCACCCCCCATCTCCAATTTAAAGGATTACTGGCTTACTTGCTTTTTTCGGTCTATTTATTTATTTTTGAAGAAATTCAGATTAGAAAGTCTCGAGTTATATTCATGGGAAGAGGTGAGGAGCTAAATAAGGCATTAAAAATGACAAATGTGAGAAAATAAAGACTTGAGAGAATCAGAATCTTAACTAAAGTTGTAAAAAACAAAAATATGGGAAACAACTATCTACTAGAACTTAGTTAATTTCTCCTCCATTTGGTATAATTAGTCCTTTTTTAAAAAAAAATGCCTTTTTCAACAGATGTCTGCTGCAGCATTTGCCAAAGGTTTACTTGACTTAGAAGGGCAGCTAACACCAATCCTGGTTTGTGTTCTTTTCCTGAAGTGTTTGGCCTGTTCTTTGGGTTGGACTTTTATCTTTTTTCCGACTGAGATGCTTACCTATCTTGAAGGTTTCCCTTGTTAGCAAAGACTCCTCCATGTTGGATGGACTTGACAATGCCAGTATTGAAATGGAAGAAGCCAAGGTTAGTAATCTGTTTATAATTTTCCTTCGTCTATGTTATAGGAATTTTAGTATCTAAAGTAACAAACTTCAACTGGAGTCCCTTTATTATACAAAAAAATCTTAGGATAAAGGGAACACCTGTATAACTACGCCAACAAATTGGTTCTTGGCCTCAAGTTAATAATATATTAACTTGAGAATAACTGTGCCATCCACCGTCCAAAATGGCGAGTCCGAATTGCTAATAGTTATGACCTTATTCTCATATGCCCCCCAGAAGCTTTTTCTCTTACTTTTTAGGGCACAGGTACACTATTTTCTATGCTACTTATTTTTCTTTTCTTTTTTTCTTTTGGATTCTTTGTAGGCTCGGTTGAATGAGATCATTACCTCTAGTCCAAAGATGGCTCATAGCAATGGATCATCTGAATTTCCTTGGATGAAAGATGGAGTAGGATTGCCGCCCAAAGCATCAGAATTACTTGTCAAGCTGGTAATGTTGTGAAATATAGCAACGCATTATAGTAGTTTGGGCCTCTTGTTTTGAGAACATGGAATGGAGTGCAAAATAACCACGTCAAGGAACAGAAATTGATTTTAGTTTATTTTTTCAATCACTGTAAATGGAATTTTCCCAAGATCATATGAAGCGCATATCATAGGGATTTGGGAAATTAATTTGCATTGAAAGCGAGGCAGATAATGGAGCTATTGAATCCGTTGGGTGAGAGTCATATATTGACCTTAACAAGAGGATATGGGAGTGGTGCCTCGAATCTGTGTGATCTGCAACAAGGGGATATGTATGAGTTTTTGTCCGAGAAACAAAGGGAGAAATAAGGATCTCAATTTGACCATGTTCAAGTCAAATGTATAGTGACTATTAGGCTGCACATGAAGTTATCGAGGTAAATTTAGTCATGATTATAGAAAATTAACTTAAGTTGAGGGAAGACTTACATGCTATTATTTGAAGTCTACTATCTTTCAATATAACATTGTTTCTAAATTATAGATCATAGGTTTCCACCTTCCGTAGATAATAATCTATTCTGGTGAATATGTCTAGAGATAGGCTGGTGATATGCATAATTTGAAATTATTATCATCATTCTTATGTAATTCCAATGTATCTCTTGTTCAGGTGAAATTGACCAAGAAGGTCACTGAACAAGTAAGACTACTTGCTATGGATGAAGATGAGAAACTTACAGAAAGAAGCTCATATGATGTAATTCCTCCTTACGACCAAGCAAAGGCACTTGGCAAGACAAATATTGACATTGATCGCATAGCTGCTGGATTACCTTGTGGAAGTGAGGGTTTCCTTCTGATGTATGCCCGCTGGAAAAAGCTTGAAAGGGACTTGTATAATGAACGGAAGGAGTATGTATTAGCTATATTTTGTTCAAATTTGTTCTCCTTCTTCTGTATGTTCTTTCTGATTCTAGAGACTTACAGAACTAAGATAAGGAATGCTACTAATGTATTTTAATATTTAAATCACCTAAATGAACAGAAAATGTCGCATATGGAGTTTCTAAAATCTAGTCATTTGTAGGTTCAAAACTCGTTAATACCCCTTGCATGGGGGGGACCACACTTCACACACACCCACTTTGTTCTTTGTGGGTATAGAACCCACAAGAGGAGGTGTGGGGTTAAATACATCTACTATTGAATTCATCTCATAAATTAATTTTCTCTCCTATTACTCCTTATGCTTTGTTGTAATTTTTTAGCAAGAGGAAAACAATTGTTATATGGGTTGCCGATGCACGTTGATGATTTTATTTTTTTTATGCGGGGAAAAAGGGTTTGCAGACACACTGATGTTGTGTTTTCTTGCAGCCGCTACGATATTACTCAAATTCCTGATGTTTATGATTCTTGCAAGTAAGTATCTCATAGAAGTTTATGATTCATTATTCTCTGCTAATTTTCTCACTGTCTGAGTGTAATCTGAACAGAAAGTATCGTGATAATGTTCAAGGAAGTTATTAAATAGGTTTTAATGCAAACTTATATTTAATTTTAATTTTTAAAACATTGTGATACTAATAATAATGTGTATGAACGGATATGAGGACTTGAAACATATCTTAAATCAGAAAACTTTGTTTCGTGAGAAATATTCAGCTGATTGGATCTAAGATTCAGTGGACTAGATGCTAGAATATGAAGCAGAGATGAACTATGCTTAAAGACACAGTTGACTTGATCTGAGTTTTTCCCCCTTTGGTCCGAGGCTGACATTCAGGCCATTAGATTTTCAGCTTAAAGTGGTTACAGTGAAAGTAGAGGATAGAGAAGAGATTCTAGTCATTGTGATTTAAACTCCTGTCTGACATCCAGTTCTCTTGAACTTGGTGGGATTTTCACTTTTCAAAATCAAGGTACGCAAAGCAGCTTTGATGCTACGGTTTCTAAGCTCAACTAAAACTTCTACTAAGGTTTTTCCGCAGCTCATTCTCTGACTAGCTTTCCCACTCCTGGGAGGATTTTACAAATGAAATGATTGAAGGATATGTACTTAGAAAGAATAGATGGTCAAACAGATCAGGCAGATTTACAATCAAATTTTCAAAGATAATTCACTTAGCTTCTGCTTCTTCTCTATTCATCACCCTTCAGATATACAAACCTCAAGAATTTATCCACTGGAACATCTGAATTAGTCATTCGCATAAGGAAGAAATCTGTATTTTATTCTTTGTTCTTCTGACTCTTGCTCAGTGTGAGACACTAGCCGAGATGACTATCTATCATAGAGGGGCCATGCTTGTGGCTTAATCAGATCGGCTCTTCTTCTTTCATGTTATCTGGTTCTGGTTCGAAGCCAACAGGGAACAAGGGCGTACTTTTGCTAAAGCTATCTTATCCTCATTAGCGACATTTGCTGCAAGCATTGAGTGCAACCAAAGCTTGTCAGAGATTTGAAAACAAAGTGGAATAATCTAAGGGAAAATTGACACCTTAGGATTTAACCCATATATTGACCTCTAAGAATCTTCAAAATCAAAATCATTGGGACCATTCAAATAAGTAACCATTGGTCACCGTAAAGTTGGATGAAGGAATGAGCGTAGGTTGAAGAATTATTAAACTATTCTACATTTATGTCTCTTACTGCCTATCATGAAATATACTGATTAAACTAATCTGCAATCTTATGTGTTAGAAGACAAGTTTGGTGTTTTGAAATTCTTTAGTTCTATATTTTTCTTCTACCAGTCACAAGATTGACTTACATTTATACCCTACAGGTATGATCTCTTGCACAATGCTCATCTTAACTTGGAAGGACTGGATGAGCTTTTCAAAGTTGCTCAGGTATATAAAAGCGCATTACGATTTTTCAATGCTTTTCAAAGTTAATTTATTGGATTACAAGTTTCTTGTCTAATGGGCCACCTAAGTGGAATAGGAAATCCTACCCCAAAAAGCTAGTTGTTTAGGTAGGAAAATTAAGCCACTGAGGTACCCAATTGGGCATCTCATACTGCTCAATGTGGAACTTAGTACCTTGTACTACCAAGTCTTGCTCTCATGAGAAGTCGACATCCTAGTGGCTGCATTCATGACACTTTGCTTAGCCTCCTACTAATTAGAACCCTCCTCGAAACTGTCAACAATCTAACTTTAATACCATTTGATGGGTGTCTAAGTTAGATAGGAAACCTTACCCAGAAGTTAACTGTTGAGGTGGGAGAACTAACCTATTTAAATATCCTATTAAACATCACATGCTGCTCAATGTGGGGCTTATTATCCCATACTACCAAATCTTCATTATTCTCCTTTTTTTCATTCAATCATTCTCCTACTTAAAACATGAATGTTTGATTATTTTTTGTGCTGCACTCATATCCTTTCTAAAACAAAAGGGAGAATTACAATGAGGTCCTGATGAAGGAAAATAATTTTTAGAAAATCCCAATAATAACCTAAACAGCTTGTAATGACAACTTTTAGCGCAGGAAATGACAACTTCTAGAACTTGTTTTGTAATTATTTTCCTTCCTTAGAACCTCATTGTAATTCTCCCAAAACAAAACTATAGACTTCTTGCTCAACGTCCAAGTTAGGGCACTGATCTTTGCAACATATCCTTTCTAAAACAAAACTATAGACTTCTTTGCAAGTCTGTCTCCTGCAAATTCTGAACTATGTTTTCAGGTAAATATTTACACACACACACGTAGTATGTATATTTTTCTTTCCATGAAAACGGAAAAACTGATCAAGCTGTTTCTGAAAGTGGTCCCCCGTAGAAAATGAACAGCTATAAAATAATGCTCACTTTTTGTCTCACTGATGGTGTTATTTTGTTTGCAGGCACTTGCTGATGGTGTTATTCCAAATGAATATGGAATTAATCCAAAGCAGAAGTTAAAAATTGGCTCCAAGGTATAACCCTGCTGTAAGACATCACAAATTGCCTTTTTATATTATAAATCTTTTCTCCATTTCCTTATCGTGTCCTCGCACAAAGTTGGCTTTCAACTATAATAATTGTGATGTTAACCCTCGTGATTGCTTCTGATTTGGGCAAATACTATGTTTTAATTCCTCAAAGAAGTAACACACAATTACTTATGAAATGGGAGGTCCGTATGTAACATTTTGTCTTGAGTTGCATAACTGGATATTGCTTCAGTTTATCAGCACTCAATTAGTAGCACTTTTTCTACGTGTTTTTTTTGTAATTGTAGCACCCTAATTACACTGATTTGTGCTGTTTCAATTCAGATTGCACGCCGTTTGTTGGGGAAAATTTTAATCGACTTGAGGAACACTCGTGAGGAAGCAATTAGCGTTGCCGAGTTAAAGAGTAACCAAGACCATGTCTCGTCGGCCTTAAAAACTGAACAGGATGACACGGAGTCCAATTCAAAGCTTTTAAATAAGAATGATGAGCCAAGAAGATCCGCCACTTTCAGTGATATTTCATTGGATCAAGATGATGATGATGATAAAGAGACAAAATATCGTTTAGATCCAAAGTGAGTATCAGAACACAATTTGATTTTATGCATTATTATTATGTTGTGTTTTAATTATCTTATTTCCCATCAGGTATGCCAATGTGAAGACACCTGAGCGCCATGTGCGAACAAGACTGTACTTCACATCAGTGAGTGCTTTATCGCATTATTTTGGCATCATGATGGCATGGACTGGATTGTTAAAAACTGAGATTCTTTACACTGTATTTCCCATTTGGTGTAAGAGATCCGTCATGACCTTGACTTTATTAATTGTTCCGTGCCATTATTAATTGGCTGTCTTTTTTTTGGGTGAAATACTTGGTCGTCAACTTTAATCTCGCTTATAAATTCAATATTTTGTTTTGATATTATAAATTCAAATGATACCATATGTTGTACTGATTTCTTATATAACATCGTATTAAAACAGAGGGGGGGGGGGAACCGAAGATACATCAGAACAAATTTTACATATAGTCAAATTATATATAGAGCTTACCCATTAACATCTCTGTAAATTCATGCGTACCAACTGACAGTGTGTAATTTTTCTCTTTTTTTCGGAACAAAATTGTTCTATTCTGATTCTTGGACTTTTTCCCGCAATTATTTTTATTGGCAGGAATCACATATACATTCTCTCATGAATGTAATTCGTTACTGTAATTTGGATGAATCTCTTCAAGGTGAAGATAGTCTGGTTTGCCTTAATGCGCTAGAGCGCCTTTGTAAAACGAGGGAGCTTGACTATATGAGCTACATTGTGCTGAGGCTGTTCGAGAACACAGAGGTGGGTCATTTTAGGCATTTCCCCGTCAGTTTTTTTTTTCCCAAATTTTTTTTTTTCTGTTAGAATATAGATATGGTTCCTTAATGCTCTACATTCTATTACTTGATAATTTGACTCATTATTTCCCTATTCCTTTGACGGCCACAACTGTCAGGGCTTTTATTTGATGTGCTGGGCGTTGGTTGCCATGTTTATCATTGTTCTTATATTCAACTTTTTGCCTGTGAAACTGCAGGTGGCTTTAGACGACCCAAAAAGGTTTCGCATGGAGCTGACCTTCAGTCGCGGTGCGGATTTATCCCCCTTGGAGGTAATGATCGCCAGTCAATATAGTTTGCCAAAAATATGAGTTATGAAGGAATGGTTTGAATTCCTTTCGTTCGCTGTTACCTTTGCGCGGTATGCAATGAAAAAAATGGTGAAGTTTTCAGGATGCTTACGGTGCCATTTGTCCGAAGCTTTTATGAAACTATTTGACCAAAAGCTTTTTATGAGACTAGAATCACTTCTATAAGCTTTAACGAGAGAGATTAATTTATCCATTAACGTTTCCTGATATGTGGAATATCAGCAAATATCTTGCGCCTCCATGGCAAGCTAGTGTTTCAGTTAACTCGTTTTTTGGGTAAAGAACTAAGTGTGTATTTTATGTTTGACAGAAGAATGATAGTGAAGCAACTTCATTGCATCAAGAGCACACCTTACCCATTATGGGTCCTGAAAGGCTGCAAGAAGTAGGATCATTTCCGTCGTTAGAAAAAGTGGAGAAGATGTTTCGTCCTTTTGCTATGCCTGCAGAAGACTTTCCTCCCCCAGAAACACCTGCTGAGTTCCCGACCTATTTTCCTAAGAGCGTGCTTGAGCGCCTGGTAAATTTCTGGCCTTTCCACAAGCATGCCAACTCTAATGGCAAGTAGCTACTTGGATTATTTCTCATCCAACGAACCCTCCTCCAAAAAAAGTAAAAAAAAAAAAAGAAACCCCTTTTATCTACTCTTTTAATTTTACAATTTCTGAATGTTCGCCCTTTTTTTTGCGGCGAGGGTCTGAGACGTTAAATTTGAATAGAAATCAAAATTGGAGAAGTGCACGTTTTATGGAAAGAAATCAATTGTCTTTGCTGAAATTAAATTCTATCAATGCATCATTTCGGCGTAACGCTAATCTTGTGATTATATAGTTTTCTTAATACTCCTCTCTAGCCAGACTTCAAATTTTCGTATTTATTTCTGCTTTTACTCCTTCGATGTGGAAATAAAATCATACAAATTATCATTCCCGCTAAGCTACTATTTTCTCTCTCATCGCCATATTTAATTATCAACCGATCATGCATACAGTCTGAAGAGAAAAGCTACAGAACTTGAAGGTCATTTCAATGATCTGCATTGGGATGTATCCACTGATAGTTTTGATAATTTTTGTGACATTAGTCTTTGATTCTTAGATTTTGATGCCTTGAATTCACCATCTTTTACTTTCCAGTGAGTTGTGCGTGGGTCTGTTATGATCACAAAGAAGTATTCGAATAGCAGAAGATAAAACTTCTATTAATGTTTGAGCTCAACATACATCTCAGCCATAATCATCATATCGGCATTCATCAGAAAGAAACAATGCAAGAAATATAAGAGAATGATAACAAACGCAGAACGGAAATGCAGAATGGAGAAAGAGCCAGGGAGAGAGAACCACAGACGAAGAGATTCCAAAATGCTTATCACACCCCCCACTCATAACCGTATTTGTCTTATTATATAGAATCCTCCAATTCCCTCAGCTTCCAGGTCTTACGTCGCGCTCTCTGACTCTTCCTTCTAGATCCTTGTATGCTCACTGGGCCATGGGCCCCAGATGGATCCTGTACTCGTGTTGGGTCGTCTGGACCCTTGTGCATGACAGGGTCTTAGTGTTGCCATTCCGCCCGAAAACTCTCTGTCCGTCTACACACGCGTCCACACACTAAACACACACAGCGCTGCCACCAACCGGAAGATGTGGGAAAATGGATCGTTTCCGCCTTAATTGGAACCCATGTCATCAAGATGGCGGGGACATTATGAATGTTTTTGCAAGTCCCAGCATTTACCGGAAACAAACTGAGGTCTAAAATTTTTACATCCTTATAATTAGATGGGTTAATATAATTTTTAGTTTGTTCTTGTTTTCATTTTGATTTCTCAAATTTCTTTTTATTTAAAATATTAGTCCTTATAATTCAATAAGGACTTGCACCATTTTGTCTTTGATAGGTTAAAATTTATGATTTGAAACTTGAAGAACTAAAACCACAATAAAGATAAATTTAACTTGAGCGATTAAAGAGTATATTAATCTTAATTAGATTTTAAGTTTAAATTAAAATATAACATTTTCCAAATAAGAGTAACATGTGCGGGTAATGTACGTAACTAAAAATAAATAAATACTAAAAAATTAAAATAAAATTGTATCCCCACTGTTGTGCTATCGTTCTTGATAGACTGAAGCCATTGGAGCCTGTGTGTGTGTGTTTTGCGATAAGAAAGTGTGGTTCTCACCGTGTTGCATAAAGTCCACAGAATGAGTCATTTTACTCCGAGTTTATGAATAGTCTAATTTGTGATACTCTTCTGGTCTTTAATATAAGATCTATTTAACTAAATTGATTAGATTAAGAAAATTAGGTAAGTTAGTTAATTATAAGAAATGTAACATGTTTTTTCTAAAACAACGTAATCATCTTTATTAATACACTCCCTCCCTTTTCTACTTGATTATGGTTGAAGGAGTATCTATAAAGATAATTTAAAAAAAATGATAAATATAAGAAATAAGTCTTATATTTAAGATCAAAATTAACTCAATGATTAGATTCTATTAATGACAGAAGGAGTACATAAATTTAATTAATTCACGCGCTAATTGATTTTGGGGTCCAGGAAAAAACAAAAAGTTACGAAGTGGGGACCACGGTACCACTGAAAACAAGGAAACGCAATTCCCCTGTAATGAGGATCCTTTTGAGATTTTGGTGGTAACTGGTGACTTCCGCTTTCCCTTTCATTCCTCGAGACTTCTGGATACTTCACTTGTTTCCCTTTTCAACTCTTGCTTTAGCGACTTTTTCTCTTTATGAAATGGGAAATAAAGCCAACAAAAGACGACTACAGGTAAAGCAATAGGTGTCCATCTTCTTGGCGTGCACGTATTAGCCCCATCACATTGGAGCCTCATCATGTCAAAAGTCCATATCCTAATAGAACTATTAAATATTTTAGAAAAAAAAATCATGGAAAAGGCTCCCATGAAAAATTTCATCAATAAGGATGACCTAAATTAGAATTCCGACACTCTGTGCATACAAAATTTGCAAAACATCAGTACTTTCTGTTTATAACAATTTATCGAGTGTTTCTCATTAATAAAATTTTTAATGTGAGATTTTTCTTCTATTTTTTTCCAACGAAAATATGCTTCGTTATTCCTAGACCTAGTTGTCCCTGCCTTTGGTATCCGTTCGTGCACTATGGTAATTGCCATTGACAAATTTTGACAATCCATCCAGAAGATAAATTCCAGTTAATTATTACCACTCGGGCAAAAATAAACTAATGCCGTAACTATGCTGCTATCGAAATAATTTCTCAATTTCAGGTGAAAAAAAAAAATAAACATGCAAATTGATTGATTAGGCTCTGAACTTTGTGAGAGAAACGTGAAAAATGATTAGATTGAAGGAGTAACTTTAAGAGGATCACTTTTGCTCTGTGCTTTATTTTGTTTTTTTTTTTTGTGAAAGAAAGAGGAGGGATTGGGACACCATAAGAATGCAACTTTAATGATATGTGCATTTCACACTAAAACCAGACGGCTTCTAAAATCTAATAACCTTTATGTTGACTTCATGCACGTATGGTATATATCATTTCTGGTTGTATGTTCGCGGTAAATTCGTTGCCTTTTTTTCCAGCTAAAGTATTATTTTGCTAAGTTTTTGAAAGTGAAAACATTATTTATTCATTATAGTTAAATATTTATCTTGGGTTTAAGTAAAAAGATGTTCACAGTGGGTGTATGGCGCAGTTTAGCTGAACATGAAAGATGAGGAGATAAAATATTTGCGATTACAAGACATAATACGATTGAAACAAAGCATTAAAAATATTTACAAGTTTGTTATAGTTGAGGAAAAAAAGGCAAATCCTGTTTAATATAATAAAACAAATGATTTCTGGCTGCAAATTAAATATTACTCCTCCTGTGCTAAAATTACACTATAAAATGAGTCTTATATTTAGGACCAGAAGAATAACATGTAGGAGCATCAATATAACTATCTATATATATAATTGATAATCAGAGCGGCTATTATTAAAACTAAACAGTCGATGGCTAAACAGAGGCTATGAAGGATCAAAATTTCATGGGTAATCCCACTAAAATTGGCATCCTTTATTCATGGAAAAAGGGCGTTAATCAATCTCGCTTTTCTCATAAGATAATTACCATGTCAACCTCGAATATTGAAACGAAGAGGGAGGAGAAAAAAGAAGGGAGTTTTCCACGAATATTGTCCCAATACTGCGTTTAATTGTTGAGTTCCCAAGCTCTGGAATGTCCGCAAGAGTTGTTGGGATGGGATGTGACGCTGAGGTGGAGGATTTGAAGGAATATTTATGCGTTAATAATAATAAACGTTGATACGAAATTCGGTGGAGGATGACGTAAGAGAGTTGAAGCATGCCCCTGTCCTTTGGAAGCACCCTTGCACGCTTTAATTATACACGTGTCTATTTTCTACGCGATGGAGTCCGAGCGAATTTGCGGATACGTTCCAAACCTTAGTGTGAGAGATAAAAAATTACGGCTGGAATCGAAAAAAAATTATTAAAATAATATTTAACATCAATAATTGTTTATTATATGGATTAGATAAATTTATAGATATGAAATTAAAGAATACTACTTCCTTCTATCATATTTTCTATATACGTGTCTATTACGTACATGATGGAGTCCGAGCGAATTTGGGGATACGTTCTGGACCCTTTTTTTTTGTGCTATTTTTTTTTAGTTATTAACAATTGGTCGTAATAATTAATGATTGATTTTGATTAATTGCCGGATTTTGACAGGACGATGCCGTTTTGAAAGAAGTATAGGCGTCGTTAAGTTGACAGCGATATTAGTCTTTCGATCTTAAATACTATCTCCGATCTTTAATATAAGATCCTGTTTAATTTTTATTTTGATCTTAAATATAAGATCCCAATCTATTTTGTCTCTCATATTTATATTTTTTTTCTAGAGTAACCCTTCTAACAATAATAATTCTGGTCAATATACTTGATTAGTAATGATATTTTAGGAAAAACAACATCTATTTAGGATCAATAACTAACTCAATTTACTTTCTTAATCTTCTCAAATTAGTCAACTAACTCTTATAACTAAAACTGAAAGTAATATAAAACTTGTTTTATAATATAAAAAGTCTTATATTTAGAATTGAAAAAAAATATATTAGGAGCTATAATTTGGCCTTTCTCAGGTGCTGTCTTGTTAGGTCTCTTTACCACCCTCATGTCATACCGTCTCATTCTGATGTCAAACTGTACTTATCTATCAAACCCACTCAAGAAGGTGGCCCCAAAGACACAAGCCGACACGAGTAATAATTAGTTGATGTCACGTGATATTAATCAGATATTTTTTATATAATATTAAATTATATTACATTCTATTCTTACCATAAAAACTAGTTTAGTTTTAAATATAAGATTCTAATATATTTTATTTTTTATATTTATTTTTTAAAATTGGTATTTATAATAGTTGTATATATTAAAATTTTTATCAAATGATAATTCTAATTAATATATATGATTAACAACAATATTTTAGAAAAATAATATTTATTTATTATAAATAACTAACCTAACAAAATTTTTTAATATACTCAAATTAGTTAAGTACCTCTTATATTAAGAATTGAAGATAGTAATATGAGTTTATAAATTATATAGATTAATTTAAAAAATAATAAGCATGAGGAAGAAATAGATTTAAGAAAAAATGATTAAAAAAATCATGATATTTAATAATTTGCAAGATTTTTATTTTTCGTAGAATAATACGCGGCAAGTGTACTAAAGTAATCATTTATTTTGAATGACTTTTCGCGCGCAAGGGACAACAATGAATATAGCTGAGAATGAGGATGCATGCATATTCGAGAGCCATTTTTTGTAGTTGTTCAGAGTATCTTTCAACCCAGACAGTAAGAGACTAATCTATCAGATACTGTTAGGCACCGTAGCAAGGATTTCTTCTAATAATGTTTTTTCTATACACACTAATCCAAATATTAAATCAAATACATAATGTTTAAGATATCCAGGTCCTTTTTACTTGAACCAACACATGTTGATTTATTCGAGAGCCTTCTTGGATCCTGCAGTGACGCACAAACAAGCCGATAGCAATCTTCATTATTAATTACTTGGGCTGAGCTTCCCCCACCTGGAACCCTCTACGCCCACACACAAGTATATACATATCAACCTAGCGAGGATATTATTTGATTATGGCATACTTGTGTTTTAGACGGATCAGCCATTCAAGTCCACTCTTCAATTAGTTGCGCTATATACCGCAATAATGATAATAATCAAGCCTCCTCATAATTAATCCTCACTGCTATTGGACACCCAAATCATTTTTATGATGCAATTACACTTTATCTAACAAGCTTTAAAAAAAAACTTAATCCTAAAATACTAGTCTATTAAGAAGAGAAACTTCTTAAATTTATAAACTCCACAATATTTGTGACGACGTTCTCTAATATTAGAATCACAAGAATGTGTTGGACTTCTTCCAACCTTTAAATATATGTCCTAATTTTTACATTGTTATTGTTGATTCTAATTACAAGTCTTATACAAATTTTTAGACATATTGAATACTTATTTAAAAAATTAAGGGTAAAGGTCCACATTTACCACAATCTTATTTTTTAAGGGCACATAGCACCTTAATAAAAGATCATAAAAAAATTGCATTATTAAAAAAATCAGGATATTAAGTGTACCTGATAAATAAAATTAAGAGTAAATTTTCATCCATATCCAAAAATTAACACGCTTAGAAGGCAACTGGGATTGAAAATATAATTGCTGTATAAAATATAAATATCATCTAGGCGCATATATTTTAGCCTAAAAAATTGTTGCACCATAATAGGCAACAGGGAAACCGGTCTGGACTGGTCATTTTCTTAATGATTTATCCAGTTAAAAAAATTAAAAAAAGGCGCGACAATGGAGAAAAACATATTTATAGTTCCAGACACAAAAAAGCATCGATGCTGCCGCCAAATAATGTACGGTGGCGACAGGGAGAATTTTATCCGTACACTTAGTGGCACCTTGGTCTTTGGGACTAAGAGTGTAAGACCGTAGGTAGAAGGCCAAATAGGAGACTTTTTGGGGAATTTTTTTTAAAAAAATCCTTGTTATTAGCAGCATATTAATATTTTATAAATATAATTAAATAGCTAAAATATCTTTGTATCATATTTGAAAAAAAACTATTAAATTTGTTGTTACAAATATATTTCTTATTATTAGTTGTTAATTACTTATCCTCACAGTACATAATTTGTTAATAAATAGTTTGTTATTGTCAATATATTTTTTATCATTTGTTATTTTATGCTTGTCGTTGTTAGTTTATGCTTGTTAATAAACTTTTTGATATAAAAATCATTTTAATTATTTAACTATATTTGTAAAATACTAAATCAGATGTTACTCCCTCTTTTGAGATTTTGAAGTGTGAAATGCTTGATTTAGAATATTACATTTTTCAAGTTCTTTATTTATCATTTCCCTTTTTTTACGCATTGCACACAAAAATTAAACTCTACAAATACACAAAATTAAGTTATATAGTGCTATTTATGTTTTGTAAATTGTGTGACTTGTTACATGTTTTGTCATATTGAATATTGTAAAATTATATGCTTATACTTTAATACTACTATAACTTTAAATTCTCATTGACTCAAGTGAAACTGTAGTTTGTATAAATAATTTAGCCGAAACAACCGTATCGTACCAGACAAGTACAGTGGATCTGAGTGAGCAGAAAGCTTACCGAAAAGCTGCCACTTTCAGAATTACAAGTAAATCGCAGGAAAGAAAACGAGACAACGGACCCTCTAGATCTCCGTGGATAATTTCTGTCCTTTTTCTTTTGTGAAAAATAAAG